CATCGTGCACATGCAAAATACCGTTTCCGCCGTGAGACCCCAGAAGAGAGCTTGAATCAGTTAGTTACTGAACAGTTGAGACCAATATTCTACCGTCTGAGCCACGGACCCTTGTCTCGTCAGTTGCGATCATGAGTCAGACGGTAACGGCGTACATCACTCTATTCAGATTATTCAACCGGGAACGGGCACTCGGTATTGGGTACTGGAGGGTGCGAACGCTTCTGCACCCTAGTCTGACTGGGCGCAATATTCATCAGCATAAAATTGATGTCTGCTGCCGGTCTGAAGCCTGAATCCATGACGCAGGCCTACGGGTGAATAACTATTTCGGGACGTGGACGTGCAAACCAGATATTCACACGGAAACGCATGCTTGAATTCCGCTATAACTATCAACAACCGTCGCCCATCTCCTAGTTGACTTCGCCGTGCGTCCATCTTGGGTCCTTATGGAGGATAATGGAAGTAGGCGTGTGTCTATGGATCTTCTAACGCAAAACTCTCATTGCCGCAAAGATTCGCACGGACCGTGCATCCAGTCTTCCGCTGCGGTGCGAATGCAGGGCTTTGTATGTGATAAATAAGCGAAGACTGGAGGTAGTTGACTGCCACTGCTTGAGCAGTCTCCTTCGAGTGAACTACGCCGACTTCTTCTCAAATGAGGCAGTCCACACTCCCTGCGATAATACCACAGGCCAGCCAAGAAAGACAAATCAGTTTGTTTTGGCACGTTCCACGTCATCCACCTCATAAACTCGGTTATAATGCCCTTAATCCGGCGCTTTCAGGCCCCTTGAAAAGGTCAAGTCAAGACTTGGCTCGACATGGTTCGCGTCAAAAGGTGGAAGTGCTTCTTGGGCCTTCTGAACTAGGTCTTCGTCACTGAAGGAGAGTGACCCAAGCAGTCCGGATCCGCACTAAGTGCAATTGCGTAACCAGATCACACGACAGAAACAAGTTAAGGTTAAGAGTCTAGGAAACTTGCATTGCAACAAAAAACAAGAAGATGCTCACCCAGTTCAGTGGTGGCGATTGACGCCCGAGAGCCTCGAGACGGCAGCAGTGGGGTACCGGGAGTCACTGCAGCCTGCGTTACTTTGTGTGGCGGTTCTGGATCGTCGAGTTCCTTGGTAAGGTCAGGAGTGTCGTTGGTGTCGTCTTTTTGGGTATCTGGCGTCATCGCAAGGTAGTCCTTAAAAGAGAGCGCAAGTCAAATTAGTCTAATGAAGGCAGTCATAAGAAGTTCGGATACGACCCTTGCGTGCCGGACGTAAAGGGTAAATCACAAACCGTCAGGCAACTCAAACCCTGCTTCTGGTAAGCATTGAACCAGACCGATGAGCTAAATGACTCGCGACTGTTTTTTTCGTCTTAACTTCTTGTTTTCGTAATGGAACACTTTCGAGGAAGATGACCCCAGCATGAGTTAGCCCACATAGAGAAGAAATTGTACAGCACCATTATGCAACAGTCCAGGCGAGCAAATATACTGCATTCCTAACCACTTTGTGAAAAGCTCCAAAAAACTTCATAGAGGATAGGCGCATCTTACACCTGTCGCCAAAAGTTAACCCAGTTGCAAAAAATATCCGCCTATGTCCCACAAGGCCGGCTGCTAGACAAACTTACGTCTACAGAACAACTCCCAAACCACACGTAAATAAGCTACCACAGAAAAAACATGTGTGATTGGTTCTTAAAGAACACTCTTTTAACGTCGGTTCACCAAAAGAAAGCTGAAACTTAAATGTGTTCACTTATAATTTCCACTCCCAGATACTTCGGGGCTTGCACTGTTTACAAGATAATTCTAAAAGCTCAAGCAGGACAGTTTGGAAGGGATTGAGAAGGGTCCCTTAAACGGGCCGCGAGGCAGATGCACTGCACCAACACGGGGGCTAGATCAATGTACGGCAGGTGTTATTCAGATTGCGCGCCGATAACAAACGCCGAAAAGGAGGGAAGGAGGGGTTGGAGGCACACAAAGAAGCAGCTTCGGCCGCGCCAGCTACATTCGATTTCACTTCTGGTCTTCCCTACTCTGTCTTTACACTGGGTGCAGGAAGAGAGAGTGCCGTAGACGCTTCAAAAGTCAACTATCACCCAAAACTAATCTGATCGCAAGTCGCCGTTCCTGTACCACGCTGTTGTGGAGCATACGGTCGAAATCGATGGTCGTACTGTCATATTAAAAACGGATATAGCAACAGGAAAGTTTAAGGAGAAACAAAACATTAGATGGGTTCTATAAAAAAGAAAGTAGAAAACAACGGTTTTGCTGACTAACAAGAAATTACAGAAAAAATACACCAGAAGATAAAGCGTAACAAAAAAGACCGGTGAACTCGGGAACGGGAAAAACCGAAATAAACCTACGGTAATGTTGAAGAGAATAACCTTCGCCTGAGGGAGCGGATAATTAAGGAAAATGCAAGACTTTGAACGTCAAATAAAATATTATATCCCCAGGTGCCTTCTACGAAGCAAAAACAAATGTGGAGTAATAAATGTCACTGCGTTTTTAAAGTAAAGTAAACGCAAACTGTGTTCTAAAAATGATGCACTTGATTTTTAAGAGTGAGCAGGAGTGAAGTAAAGGAGACTCGTGCAGAGTCGACGCTATGCTTCCTCCCCAAAGTGTTTAAATAGTAAGTGTAGATAAATATGCTACGAGAGCAGTGACGTTTAGACATGACAATTCAGACAATTCTTCATTACAATAAAATGCAAACGATCTAAATTACAACGGCACGCTAAAGTCTGAGGCTTTGATTGACAGAATAACTCAGGCCTACTCAGTTATCCATAGGATCGAGGACAAGGTAACAATTCTTTACTGTGACCTCTATTACACCCGAGATTTTCTTTCCCTGAAATCTGGCCCCTGGTCAGGCAGGAACCAGATAGAAGACAGGCTGTCTAGCTTTGATACCCAATAAACGCATGCACAGTGTTGGAGGTAGACAATAGGCAAATTTGCCTCACTACAGAAGTCACGTGCAAGTCACCAGTGTCCTATTTGGGGTAGAGATGGACCTCAAAACTAGTGGCAATCAAAGTATTCGTTGCCACGCGCAAAACAGTCTAGGGCTTCCCACAAGCGTCATGTGGTTGCGCTAGTTGACAGAAAGTAAAGCCGAAGACTAACAAAATAAGAGACCCCTCCCTCAGAACTGGAACTGACCTCCTTTTTCACCTTTCGGGATGAACCAGTATTGGCGGACGAATTGGAGTGTTTTGTGGAGAAACTGGAGCTGGTGGGGACGTTAGAGCCGTGACGACGCTTTTTGCTGTTTGAAGACTGCTGCTGCGGCT